TAGAATTTCCACCAGTCTCAAGAATTTAGCCAGACAGCTGTTAACATGATGTATTAGTTTAAGTGATTACTCCATGTTGGGCTCACACATCAATTTGAAATAAATGAGCGAAAATCGAGCTGTTAACAGTTTTAACAATACCTTTACTTAATCAGACTGGGAGATGCCTGCGAGCACGAAAATGCAAATTTCTAGAGCAGCTGCCAATATAAATTGCTCCACAAGAACAGTTGGACTGATACGCACAGAAAGAGATGGCTAATCTTAGTAATTTATCTTTTAATCTCGGATTGAACATCGGACATGTAGAAAAAATTAATTGTGGATTTCCTTCATTGCTCTGTGGAGCTTTGCATCAATATTTTGCTGAGTGCAATGCCTAAAAATTGAAGTCGTATAATATGTGACTTTCAAATCACTAAAACGACTATTTTCTTGGTTAAACGTTTTCCTATTATTGCCTAAGGATACTCATCTTCTTTTAAAGCGTTACGCAATGCATTTTTACAATATATAATCATGTCTGTAAGCTCTCCAAATGCAGTTGTAAAAGAAACAAGACAACTCGATTAACGTTCATATAACCTTCCTATGCATTTTTATGACTTACCTTATTCATATTTATTATTATAATACTTGCACACATTCCGATATATTTACTAAACACCCAACCCATTTTACTAATTCTTACTTAATTTATATTGTTCTACATATTACGTGATTCTTGACTAAATATTTATTTTGATTTGTAATTACATAATCATCTCTCTTACCTTCTGTTATCCAAGTTATTAATCATACAATTTCATTTAACATATCAACTTACTCATATTGGTCATTTTACAAACAACCCTGAAATCACATGTTATAAGTCTAAACGATATAATTACCTTAAACCTAGTCATTTTTTTATATTATGATTTACAGGACTTGAAGAGAATTTATTGTAATGAAAATTTTTCGTTCACATATCTGTGTTTTAATATGATGGGGAATTTTCCGCGAATACCTTAAGAGACAATTGTATCATTCAGGACACTTCTTCCCCCCCCCCTCAACTGTTCAGCCAACGTTTTTTCAATACTCGCAAGTATAATCCGACATATTATGCAGTGTTTTAACCTATATCACATATATCTTATCCGCCTCAGTCGACTAAGGATAGTACAGTGAACAGTACATAGTGAACTCTTTGATTGATTGATTAATTAATCAGTATTTCTATCAAACTGATCATCACTTGATCAATTAATGTTTATTGTTAGTGGCACCAACTTTTTCTAGTACCTTGTTATAGGCTGTTCAATTCATTAAAACAATTTAATTTAATTGAACAATCTTAAGTGCTATAAACATGGTCTTGAAAATAGACGGATTCTAGTGGCTGATCACTCATATTATCTTGCCTTTAGAATATGCTTTATATTTATTAAAGTTCACCCAGTTTAAGTAAATAGAAGATAGAAAAAAGCTAAGAAGAGAAAAAGAACCCTGGATAATTGTTCAATGGTTGACTTTTAAATCGATTTGACTTATATTAAAACTTTTCTCTTTAAGTATCATGCAACGGATCAGTTTAAGCTAGCGTAATTTTTCATTCAGTGCTGAGATTTCGTAGGACCCTCACTCACCAAGACTAATGAGACTCCCAAGATAAACGAAGTGGTTAATGAACTCGTATATTTACTCCATATAATCAATCTAGAATATGATGCAAACCAATCCTGAAGCAACATTAGTCGCTTTTGTTAAGACGCGCTTGCAATAACTACGAAAATAGACTACACTAAAAGGTTACGAAGATGAGAGAAACGTGGTTAGAGCTTGTATTACTTGACAGTTGATTATTTTCACGTATCACCCAACCCATATACTCAAGTTATACTCCGAGTTTAAAATATCTCTTAACAAAGTAAATCTTGAGTATGTTTATAAATTATAGTGTAATAAATATACGCGAAAGTATTCGACAATGAAAATCATAGAAACAAGTAAACAATAATGATAAGAGATCGGATGAAATCTTATACAGTAACGGTACTGATTTATATCAGCTGATGAGAATCATCCATGAAGTTCGAGCTGATGACAACCAGAGCTTAGAAATTAAGCCGTCCTGCTCAAAGAACGCGACTCAACCAACGAACATCCCACTTGAGCTACAAATCTTCATTTTAGACGTTCGATAATGTACTGAGAAGACGAAGCTTATCATAATTATGTGATATATTTTCACTATACATTTTGATCACACATATAGACATTTTATATGAAAAATAAAAGGTCAACTAGACAAATTAAAAGGTAAGCGGACACAAAGATCATAATAAAGTAGACAAAATCAATGTGAAAACCACACTGGATAATAAACCAGCACTACCAAGGTAGGTTAAGGGTAAAAATAAATTGTTTCTAAACATATAAAGGAGGTTTTAGTTTTCGTATAGCCAAAGCTTCAATAAGCCTTAGAACACGCCCTTGAAATTTGAGTACAAAACTACAAAGGCTGACTTAATATCAACCTTATGACCGGTTTCAACCAAATGTTTCGCAATGGAGAAAGATATTTGTCTATCCGGTGATCTGGTTTGACCATTGGAATTCATGTTTTTTGTAACCATTTAGGTAGGTGTTCAGATGATTCATAATGTATTACGCAAATATATCACATAATTTTGATAACTTTCGTCTTCTAATTGAATTATCGAAACTTATCAAAAGAATTGTTATAAATTTCAGACTTTATTCTTATATGAATCCACGTCAAGTGATTACGTCATCAATGTAAGTAAATAATCGACATCACATATCTCAAATGAAATTTCCATAAATTTCACAACTAGACTAAGGTTTTCAGTATCGATGTATCACTCACACCATAATAAAATAAATGTCCGCATCTATTTATACAAATGTGGCTTAAAAGAAAGCTTGTATAGAATAACTTAGTTGTATTTTTTTCTATTTGTAATGTCTATGACACAGGAATGAATAGGTGAGGTCTTCACTAAATGTTAACATATCAAAATTGAATGAGTCATCTAAATTGACTTCGTCACCCTTCGCGTAATAGAATGACTAATAATAAAATCATATACATATCTCATGCGCTTCGTTCCTATCACTCGCACAAAAACCTTGACCTATCCTCACTTATATCAATGCGTGTGAAAAATTGTGGACACACATTCGACTGGAGAAATGTTGAGATCTTGGAGAGAGGGGATTCGAAAAACGCCAGAGAATTTTTAGAAGCTTGGCACTCAGGTCAATCAGCGATCAATAAACACATTGAAATCGAAATATTCAAACTGGGTCTCAGTGTCTATTCTGTTGAATTTTCTTGGGATATGAAATTTGAATCCAAGGCAGAGTGCTTCAGTTTCAGTTGACATTGAAATCGATCCAATTTATTAACCAATCACAAAAATCGTGGACAAAAATAGGACCAAGAATCAAAACAATGGAAGATACAACCAAAATAGAGAAGTAAACAAGTTAAAGGTCAACATTAGCCAATCAAGATCGAGGTCTGAAGTACAAGCTGTGAGTCATTTGAACAATTCACTTCAACCTGGAGTTTGTGCTGACGAAAGCTTCACGACTAAACCATCCAACTCAGAGGATAAAGCGCCACCAAAATTATCCACAGATCTTCTCTACCACTTACTCTCATTCTCGTTGTCATTTCAGTCCCTTAATCTTGCATTTATCAACACGCAATACCGATACTATAATAAAACTGTTTCTAACGCCGCACGTAACGAGCCATATACGTCTTTTATCCTGTCGCTTACAAATGGTCTACAAAAAAGTATAAATCAGACCATTTGATTTGTCGTGAGGTAAGTACAAAATGTTGTATGGTATTGCTTTAATCTGATCAAACCTTGATTGTTTTTTTTTTAAACCTATCTTCGATTCTTCCTAACAAAAATCATTGCAATTAAAGGTTGTTGCTATATTGACAAACCTCCATCTATGTTTGTATTAGTCTTTGAAATATAGCAATACCCAGCATTTAAATTCTGAGACGTCTAAGCATCGCCTTGATATATCACCAAACTTATTTAACAATATAGTTCAACAAAATACTTCAAATTCAATCAGGAAACGAAGTTTACACTCAACAACTTATGAATAACACAGACCTGAAGCAGATACATAATCTGAAACCTCATTACTCTGGATAATAAGCTAATATTACCTGGGTAGGTTTAAGGTGAGAACAAACAGTTTTTGAATGCACATATGGGGTTTAAATTTTCGTATGGCTAAGGCTTTTATTTTTATATATAAATGTTCTTAACAAGTATATGTGTGATCAGATTGTTCGAGATATAATGCGCTAATATATCACATAGTTCTGATAATCTTCATTTTATTACACTATCGAAATTTGTCAAAGGGACTAATTGCTTTAAATTTCTTTTCCATTAGTCTAACATTATACCTGTATTTATTACCATGTTTCGTTATTAATACGAAATTTACAACATACAAGAAGCGGAAAGTTAGTAGAAATACAAATTCAGGATTATACACGAAAGTAATAAAGAATTAAGAGATTCAAAATTGAAGCCTAAATATTCCATCCCTTTTCCTGGAAGTCATTGCTCATTTATTTTTTAAGTAATCACAAGTTATATATGCCTCAGTACTCTTATATACCTATTGTTAACAGGTAACCATTCAATTCTATTACTAGATATTTAATAAATCTATCAGTATTCTAAAAACAAACTACTTGACTCATTAACAACTAGATAGTATTCTCGAATATTGTCAGTTAACCTGCATTTGAATAAATAGCAAGCTCGTGATCTAACATTGTCCAACTGGTGATAATGGAATATAAGCAACTAAGTGAATTAGGCATACATTTGATCTCTATTTCTTTCTAGGAGGTACTGATACTTAATATTCATTTGTCTGAAACTAAGATATACAATATATATATATATATAAAGCAAGTCAAACAAAATGTAGAAGGCGAATGTAGGTGTACATATTTGTAAATTTATGCAATCAAAATAAAAATATTCATGACAATCTGGAATGATAATTGACGATGATGACAACCAATCAGTTTGTCGTTAATTGGTTGTTAAACAATATTACTACTGTTAATAACAAAATACAAAACAGTTATTGTTTTAACAAAAATGAAGAATGAGCAATAAATTATTATCACCAGTATAGACAAAAAATTCATGATGTAGTTGTTGAGAATGTAGATGGGTAAGTTTTTTCATTGTGTTTACCTATTCACAATGGTTTATAACTACCTAATTGTGATTTACAAAGTGGACAAATATGGACAACATCTTGTGTTGATTTCAAATAGAAAGGAATGAGACAAAAGAGCCATAATCTGGTAGAGAATTGCAAAGAAAAGAGAAAACTATGACTTCATTATATATATATATATATATATATATATATATATTACTGTGACTAAACAAAGATTGTAAAATAATCATAGAAAACAAATGTTAATTAGCTATAACAGAAACTGAATTCGACACTTCTAACCAGATATAATAACAATTTTTACTGTAATATATAACAACAATAATAAGAACTATTTACTGAATTATTTCATAATAGAAAATATCTGTGCATTTAGAGAAGTCTAACATTTGATTCAGTCTATATATTTTGTCGGGTGAAATGATGGTTGGAGGTAGTCGATAGAGGAGCATCAGTTCAGGTACATTTTGCTGATGATTGCCAAATAGAACGTAACCTATATCCAGAGTTTTCTGTCTACTACCTCGAACCACCACCTCAACATAGTGCAGGCGATGTCAAGTCACATAGACTAGTGGGTACATTGAAACTTCATTGATGGAATTCGATCTGCACTGAGAAGGACCTGACACACATGACATTGGTCACAAACCAGTGATTAATCACTTGTAAATACATTTTATTAACTTGTAATATACAGTTGATTAAGCATTATAAAATGATAAACAAGAATTGTAGTAATTGAATAAGCTTAATTTGGTTTCGGGTAACCGGGTAGGGCAGTTATATCACTAGTCCTTTTCATAATAGGTTTTATTGGCCCTTTGATCTGACTCCATTTCAGATTGTATGGAAGATGGCTGGGAAGCCAACTCCATTTCAAGCTAGGCATTACTCAATATTTATAGGCAGACAAAATAAACTACAGACATGTGATGAGTCATGGGACATGAAGTGTACACACATACGCTCATATGAAAACAGTCAAGGCTAATAAGCGAATAATTAACAAGGTCAAAATATGACTCAAGCAGAATGAATAGAATGAAATGTCCGAAAACTAGAATAAGATATATTATGGGCTAAAACTAATGACTAACACTACAAGGTATCCCATGAATAAGTTAGTTAGTGAATTAACTTTTATGATAAATAATTGATAAGAAATATTTTTACAAAAAATCTAGAGGTAATAGATTTTTATGGAGAAATCTCACTGATAATTGAAACATCAGTAAAGTTAGAATATTAATATTTAAAATCAAGATACATATTAACTTCAAGATTTTCAATACAAATGTCGAGACAGTTCTACTGTATGGAATGGAAACTTAGAGAACTACGGAAGCCATCATCCAGAAGATACAAGTGTTTATTAAAAGTTTTCTACGCAAAATACTTCGGATCCGTTGATCAGACACTATCAGCAACAACCTGTTGTGGAAGAGAAGAAACCAGATTCCAGCGGAGGAAAAATCAGGAAGAAGCGTTGGAAGTGGATAGGACAGACATTGAGGAAAGCACCCAGCTGCGTCACACGGCAGGCCCTCACTTGGAATCCTCAAGGCCAAAGGAGAAGAGGAAGACCAAAGAACACATTACTCCGAGAAATGGAGACAGACATGAAAATAATGAACAAAAATAGAATAGAACTAGAAAGGAAGCCTCAGGACACAGTGGGGTTGGAGAATGTTGGTCTGTGGTCTATGTTCCATTGGGAGTGACAGGCGTAATTAAGTTTAAAGTATAAATTACGTTTATTGACTGGTTAAGATAATATACGTTATATCAAACATATTAAAAAGTAGACTATTCGATTACTGGATTTTAGGTATATTTGAAACATAACTGTTGATAATAACAATGATGTAAATACACTTCATAGTTAAATATCTGTAATTCAATGTACGTGTTGTTGATAAAAGCTAAATTACTGTGACTTTAGAAAGACAACGTTACAAAATGGCGAAAATTATATACTGAATTGCTATCTAATGTATACGATGTTATTAAAAAAAGGAAAAACATTTGTAAATTTGAGTGAAGAATTATTTCTAACTAAAACAAAATTCATTTTGTAACTAGAACTCACCCAGTTAAAAACATAACTCCACAAAGTAGCCAAGCTAATAGTCCTGACTCGGACCTCACTTTAGTAACAATAATATGATGACAATAAGGGCAAGTCATGCCCACTGGATTCCATTTGAATACAGTTGCAGGTGGTTGTGTAACAATAACTAAAAGAACATGAATATTTGCATGGAAAAAAATAAACAAACAATGAATCTGGTTAAACTTTTGAATTTTCTCTAAATATAATTCAATAATTTGACTACAATTCAAGAAACAACAACAAATAATATTAGAAACTTCAGCACATGTTATATAAATAACAAGTGATAAATTACTGTCAATAAACAAGCTAGTAGATAGAACGAGGAAGGGAGAGGAAGAAATATGCGACTCTAAGTTCAAATACCAAATTACAATCACAATACACAGTGTTTCGAGAAACATAAAAACGATAATATAGATTACAAAAACAACAAACTACTAACATGTTACCGAGTTGAACAACACAAGTATATATATATATATATATATATATATATATATATATATATATATATATATATATATATATATATATATATATATATAGTGATATAATTCAACGTTGAAATATCCCGAATATAGAATGCAGTATTAATATAACACTGTCATCAAGAGATGCAATTTATTACTTACTTACGCCTGCTACTCCTCGTGGAGGAGCATAGGCCACTCACCAGCAAGATGCAATTTACAAAATAATATAATTTATTAAGAAAATTATATAGAAAATGCGAGAACAACTAATATGATTGAAAACCGATAGGGTTTACTTCGGATACACTTTTAATCTATTTCGTAATTGCATTACAATAATTTGTAAAAGAAAAACTGAAGTATATTTACTAATTTCTTTTGGATTTTCCAGAATTTAACCATATTACAAGTTGATTATTAGTATTTACTTAATTAATTACACCTGTTATCCCTCGTGGAAGCACAGACCATCAACTACGACTCTCGAACAATCACTGTCCTGGAAAATCCTTTCCAGTTCTAGGTAAGTGTTATTCACTTTCTTGATATATATCTCTAATTTTGTCATATAGTTACGGTAGACGAATGTAGTACTACCAGTTCACTTGTACAACGAGATCATTTCTGTGGGAAAGGTCAACTGAACCAACATTGATGAATTTTAATTAAGCCTTAGTGATTAAGCAATATAATCAATTGAGATTTATAAAAATTTCGTGGATTAGTTGAAGTTAGACATTAACAGGTTTTTCATGGTGCTCTAGCTTCAATTCACTCATAATCTCAACTATTCCAATGAAAAAATGTGATTGCCGTTCACGTAATAGTGATACATTTATACGTTTTATAAAATGTCTGTAACAATTAATGTGGCACTTATCTGTCTAATATTCTTATTACATTTTGCTTGTAACAATGTTAGACAGATAAGTGCCACATTAATTGTTACAGACATTTTATAAAACGTATAAATGTATCACTATTACGTGAACGGCAATCACATTTTTTCATTGGAATAGTTGAGATTATGAGTGAATTGAAGCTAGAGCACCATGAAAAACCTGTTAATGTCTAACTTCAACTAATCCACGAAATTTTTATAAATCTCAATTGATTATATTGCTTAATCACTAAGGCTTAATTAAAATTCATCAATGCTGGTTCAGTTGACCTTTCCCACAGAAATGATCTCGTTGTACAAGTGAACTGGTAGTACTACATTCGTCTACTGTAACTATATGAAAAAAACATTGAAACATTGTGAATAAGTTTTGCATGTACTGTTGTTAAACAGATGAGTGTTCATTAGATGACATTTCCTATACGAAATCGTTTACTTAAACCGTATAGTTGATAAAGCTTAAAAGGCGTTTACAAATACGTGGACGATAATCACATGATGATTATTAATATAAAATGAATTGTGATAACTTCATCACTTGACCTTTGCCATGGAAATAAGAAATTGAAACAAAAAATTTAGATCAAATTGTGGGTGGTCCTAATAAGGGCTTTTTACTCGTTCTCTTAATAGTTCCGAATTTCATGAACAAAGAAGTTGCTATTATTCCGTTATAGCGCCACACATGGGACAGTGGATTCCATGAACGTGTGGTGATGGGTCGTAAGCACAAAATAAATGAAACATTGCTTCGCGTGGACAAAAAATCCAGGCACTCCCATCAGCAGTTTCATGTGGCGGTTGCGCAAGATTGCAAATATCACAGTCTGTTGTCATACGCGTTTTTGTCATTGTCGTTGTCTCGTTCAGTGAACTCCTCTGAGCTAGTCGAAACAAGTTTCTCCTCGTCAGTGCTTAACGTTGCATCCATATCGACGTTGTTTTGATAGTTGGTAACTTGCAAGAGATGAAGGAAGGACAGTGAGTGTTCACGGGAGTCCCTTATGAGAAATTATAATAACACTAATCAGATTACCTCCTTCGTCTACTCGGCCGTGAGGAACCGCTAGGTGTTCTACAGCCACTTCTTCAACATACAAGTTTAATATACGGCTCCCGATCTCTATGAAAATGAGAATCTCTCACCGCATAATGGCAGTACGTAGCTCTTTCATAAGTTCTAATGGCGCTCTTCAGCGCTTCAAATGATTGGAACGCTACGAGATACAATGCACTCAAGAACAGGTTATCGGTTTCTGTGACAAAGTGAGAAACGACAGAGCCCCTGCTTTGTATGCCACTTTTTTCCATAATTGGAAGACAATGTTCTCTGTCGTCAAGTCCTGACATTTTATATCAATTTTAAGAAATAAACAAGCAATTATAACGAACTTAAAACTAACTATTTGATTGGACGAAACAGGGTGAAAATTATTGGAAGACGGGGATGAAAAAAAATTTCACTCGAAAAAAATTTAAAAAATGGACGTGCAGTATTTGAACTTGTGTTACTTTCATTTCGCCTATTTGTTTACCATAAAGAGGTGACTTACATTAAGTTATGAAATATCAGAAATACAATTTTCTATTCATTGGGATATCATAAAAATATGCTTATTATTAATATTTGTGGGAGTTCTCTGCAAACTTTTTACGTACAAATAAAGAAAATTTTACCTTCTGGCAGTCTTTCTTCGTATTCTGGAGGAAGTGGTAAAGTAACGCTTTCTTGATAAGTAGGTGGAGGAGTCGGAGGTAAACCAGGTACAGGAAATGATGAAGGAGGAGGCACAGATGGAATAACTGTCCTATTTAAGTCTGATAAAGAATTGTAAACAAAATAGGGTCACACTGATCAACAGCCATGTAATTGTCAATAAAGCTACGATTATGGATAAAGTTTTCATATGTTATTCATAAAGCGTAAAAACTTATACATAATGCAAGAAATGCACCTGGGATTGAACTTTTATATAATAAATAATAAATCAACAAAAACTTCTAAGTAGTTAAAGAGCAGATAAGAGTGTAATCATGGTAACCAATAGGTTTTGGTGGCTCTATATCTGACTCCATGTAGGTCGTATGAATAATCGTTGTCGAAATAGACGTATCGCCCATCCTCGTATATATTTATTTGATATAACTCGCGTTAGTGTATAAAGGAATTAAATAAGTTAAATACGAGAATGAATTTCGAATACATGTATTTCATATAAACATTCATCCAGACAAACGATCGAAGAAACGAAGTGAAGTAGAGAGAGCGAAGCGAAATGACGCGCAGTGGAGAAAGCGTGTGAGCCAACTAGATTTAATCAAGGGTTAACCGATTTTATAGTCACACAAAAGCAAGTTACAGACATGTGATAAGAAGTGTACACACATACGCTCATATGAAAACAAAGTTGATAAGCGAGTAATTACCAAGGTCAAATGTGACTTAAGAAGGGTGAATAAATTGGCTTGTTCGGAAGCTAGAATACTCTATGTGGGCTTAGCATAGCAACCGACACTACAAGGTACATTTTACCAGACATACATGAAGGGAACTAAAACTATTTACTTTCTAGTTCTGATATAACATAGGTTGTCTAACATACAGATGAACGAAGACCATAAGAACTTCATAAGCTTTAAAGCATATCAATATCAGGCCAAAATACTCCAAATTTGTGGTAACGTATTTATCTCATTCCGTTTTTATTGTCTAAAGTAACATTGAAGGTTTACAAATGCTAAACCCTTCACACCATAAATTTATTGTTTGGCATACACGAGATATTCACCATTCGATGGGACAAAATTGATTGCAGTGATGTAAATGCATTCATCCTCTATCCTTCTTCAGATTTAACTGTCCAACACTTGTTACTTCTAGTTCTTTACCATTACTACTACTACTAACAGTAACTCACACGCAACGAAAATAATTATACCTTAGGTCTTGACTACACCAGTTGTCGAATTCATGACTGAAATATGATGAAAAGAATGAAGTAAAATGTAGTTCCTTATTTCATCTTGCAGAAAATTATAGAATAAACAGTTTACTATAGACAGAAGCAGAATTAACTAGAATAAGCTGTTAATCATATTTCCATACTTGTTCTTTGGACTATATTTTCATTCTGAATGCATTGAGCCCCAAATCTGTTTGCTGGTGATTTTTTGGACAAGAAAGCATCATTATGACCACATTTGCGTGCCAATTTTCCGAAGCGATTGCAATAATAACAGTCAGATCTTGTATTTGTATGTACTGGTCGGGATGACGCCTGAGCAAGTCGAGGTACAACTTTTTGTCCGTATGCTGGTTTTTGATCACGATGTTTCTACGAATTACAAATGAATATATCAGATAAGATAAAAAGGATAGGTCATAAAGTTACTACAAACTGAAATGATGTACCAGAAACAATGTAATCCCATTTGATTGATCTCGAATACAGTGGTCTTCCCTTAAACTATGAAATTAAAATCGCTTCATATCTTTCTTTCTACGAACTAATTCTTCCTTCCTGTAATATGTCCTTATATGCAATTTTCTTTTATATATTACCACCACTGAATTGACTACATCTGTGGATCTGGTTTTCATCTTGTGCTAATGAGTTATGGCAACTTAAACCGATGTACATATGTGCCTGGTCCTACGTTGTAGCTGACTGACTGGTTGATCTCGAAAGCAGATTTTCTCAGTTTACACAAGGTGTAACAGAAATCCTCTTGCGACAGAGAAATCAGTTTGACCAATATGATGTCTAAAATATTAGCGCTAATAATTATTCCATCCTTAACTAGAGTTTGTTTAGAGTAAAACTGGGAAAACGACGTTTTTTTTCAGATGTGGATGTATCGATAGAGTTCTGTAACATAGACGAACTTTTGTGTTCATTGGCCTTAGGCTAGCGTTTGACTCTATTAATCGTGAGATTTGTCATTAAAGCGCATACTAAAGGAGTACAGCAGCCTTATAATTAAAAACTACCAGTTGAGTTAGAGTTTATGGAAAACTGTCATCATAGCTGTCCAATTTTTCAGTTCATAGTCATTTTATAGAGATAAAACTCTCGTCCTCTAACTTCATTGGAATCAATCTTTAAACAGACAATTCACTAGTTAACTTGAAGTATGCAGATGATATGGTTTTGTTTAGTAAGAACGCTGATAAATAGTCTTTTGATCTCCTTCGACAACAGCATATACATGTTCGAGATGCGTTTCTTTTCCTTTAAATGCAGAATTAGTTTGGATCAAAACCTGAGGTAATGAATCTTTACCAACTAGGGTAGTTGGAATATGTATTACATGTAATATATGCCCAATCACCGCCTACCTAGACAGGTGATGTTTGGTGTAGTAGTAGGCTGAAGGAAGCTAGGAGCATTCAAACCAAGACCTAACATCAGTATGAGAAATCAACGAAGAGTAAACAGATTTACGTGGATAGCTGCAAACTACCTGGTTAGTCCCCACAATTATCGTAATCAGTAGCTGTAGACTTTAGACAATATGGTTCTGAATCGATCGCAATGGCATACATGCATCTTATTCCAGACCTTGGGTTTAAAAATCTTATATTTGTGCTCTGATTTCTACACCTAACTGTTTCTACTACCAATGATACTTTTAATAATTTGCTATTCAGCAATTTGTCTAGATAACTTCACCTCGCTCTACGAAGTGGATGTGGCAACTTTAACCAATGTGCTAGCTTATACGTTGGATATGACTGAGTAACTAGTTTTGATGATCTCACAGCATGAAATATAATATACTGTATGAAAACAGTTGCAACTAGTGTTTCCGAAAAATATACTTTCGATTTAAACTGAAGTTTGTCATATGGATAGAAAATTATTAGTGAAGCAAGTGGGTATTGATTTAGGGCCGATTTCGCTCGTCACTATCGACGGATACTGAAAATCATCTAAAATAACCGGTTTTCCTCACACCTACCAACACCCAGCCGTGCAGTATTGCTATAAAGTTTTTCGGTCAACTTATATGCTTTAAATAATAGTGATGATGAAAGGCGTGCTCGAACAACACAGCAAAGCTGCAACTACGGTTACGGTGGGTTTGTTGACCGTATACGCCAGTACATTTATTCCACTAAAATATCTGTGGCATGCAAGACTGCAAAGGTCATGCATTACCTATAAACCTCAAACGCAAGCAAAACAATATAAAAGAATCAACTATCCATTAGGTCAATACTGCACATTCAAATGCTTTCTTATTTTAATATATTTGAAGATTCTAGAAATTTTCAGGAAAATTAGCACAAATATTTAATTTGATTTCAGATACAAAAATTCAAATATGTTGGTGTTCCAATCGCTCCACTATGCCACATATAAAACCTGATACTTGTATTTTAGCTGGTTGTTGAGTAAAGCGATTTGCTGAATTTCACCAGTTTACCGTCTACACAGAATTTCAGGACTTACCATTGTCAATAGCAGCTGAAAGTGACATTATATCGGTCCACGGGAACCGAGCTTTTCTATCACTTGGTGTTTTTGTTTCCTATTACTTCCTCGGAGCAAAGGGAGACAGTCTTACGTGCAGAAAAAGATTATCTAAAAGGCAAGTAAACCGAATGTAATAAACCAAAACCTAGTATACTCGACAGATAATATCAAGACTCAGATATACGTCCTAACATGGGGCTAATTTAAATACATCTGATCCAAACTTTCTGTCGTGAGAACACCGGTCACAGTGCGACAGCATATGATGTTAAAGTCGCATTTAACGTGAATCTCTAAAAATAAGGACAGGAGGTAAACCAACTTACATCAATCCTTGCAATTTGAAACACTAGGGAGGTTAATCTCGTTTTGACTATATCAACAGAAGGTGCTGATATTATGTATTACGTTAGACAATTCTAGTAGATCACTACTCGGTTCGAGAAGCGGAACTCAAGACATAAACGAATTGATCTCGGATTTGGAACTTTCTTAGAATGCCCTCTCAGATAATCAGTCTTAGATGGAATGAAAAGATAAGATACATCAATACCAAGGTCATCGTTCAGTATATATGCCCCCAAATGCCCTGGTATGGCCGAGAGGGGGTGGGTTCGCCCTCCCTTTCGAAATACTCTCACACGGCCACGTGTATACAACCTCTACCAGGGAAGTCTTACTCACTGCCTTCTCGTGGCGGGGGTGCTGTTTACGAAAATGAGAGGACGAAAAGCGAATATCCGGCGCTTTAACCGGATCACAAACCAAATCAATGGTGCACATGGGATTCAGTATCCTAAAGGAACAAATGGCGTATGAACCAATCGTTGGTCACCGGCTATCATGAGACTGCATCTCCTTACGACGCTCCACTGTCTTGTGAGTTAGACCTTTAGGTCAAAGGCTCGGGGTGTGGGCCCCTAAGATAACCACCTGCTTCGGTCTGGGCACCCGGGCAGTATCACAGCCCACACACAAATATGATGAACTGCCTATAATTATGGAAACTACTTTACTTGCTTCAACTAACAATCAAATTATTATTATTATTTACCACATTATTCACCCTCTTTTATACTTATACAGCGGCTCGTATTTGGTGGAAATTCGACTGTATCTAAACGTTCTTGAGTCACTGTCCGGTTGAAAATTGTATGTTACCACCAAATACGAATACTGAAGCAGTTTTTCTGAAACCACGTGCACCATTCAAACTGGCTGCCTTCAACGTTCGCACACTTATGCAGGTTGGACAACAGATAGGGCTGGTTATATCTTTGGAAAGTCTTAATATCGATGTCTGCTGTCTATCCGAGACCCGTATTCAAGACTGGTGAAGTACTACAAATTCGCTCTTCATCTGTCGCTTCGAAAAGCTTGTTTTATGTGCGCTTATCCGGGGACCCTGTGGCATCTTCGTCTGGTCCTGCTGGCGTCGTTGTCGCACTAAGCGCTAGAGCTGAGGCAGCACTAATCGATTGGATCCCCATTAACAGTCGGTTATGTGCTGTTAGATTAGAAAGTTCCATCAAAGTGAGAAGAAACCGGCGTGAGAAACGATGTCTTTTCGTCATCTCCGCCTATGCCCCGACAGATTGCAGCCCGGATGCAATCAAGGATGAGTTTTACCACCAGTTATCTGTTCTTCTCCAGAAATTGCGTTCGACAGATATTGTAGTACTAGCCGGAGACTGGAATGCTCAGGTCGGGTGTCTAGGCACAGAAGAGAGTCATTTAGGTGGCCGATGGGGACTTGTTGGTCGCAGGTCAGATAACGGGGACCGTCTACTGCAAATGTGCACAGACCAGAACCTGTTTCTGGCTAGCACTAACTTTTGGCACAGTCATCGCCGATGTGCCACCTGGCGTCCTCCCTCTGCATCCCAAGCCTGGACTCAGATTGATCACATCGCGATCAGCTACCGCTGACGTGGTTGTATACAAGACTGTCGCTCCTTTTGGAGTACCTATCTGGACTCTGACCATGCCTTGGTCTGCGCCAATCTTACCTAGCTTCTCAGTGGACAACGAAGTGACCTCTACCAACGGATTGATGTTAGCAAGCTGGTTGCAACTTCTGTTGCTAGTAAGTATCGAACCGAGCTAGTTTCTAGGTTAGCTTCCATTCCACTGAAAAGTATAGATGAGCATTGGTTGCAATTGCATGACGCCAAGAAAATGGCGGGTACAGTCAGTTGTGGGTTCACGAAACGTGCCGCTTATACGCACTGTGTTTCTTCAGGTTCCTTACAACTCATTGAAGCCCGTCGGTCTACTCCGGGTAACCGTGAGTTTGACCATAAACGAAGGATGTTACGTAAGGAAATTGAGCAAAACTTGCGTAAGGACCAAGAAGCCTGGTGGATGGAGCGTGTTAATGAGCTGGAAGCAGCTGCTGCATCTGGTAATTACCGGAAGCTCTTCCAACTCATCCGAGCCACTGGCAGCAAGAAGTCTGGTGTGAACGAAACAATCTGCGAGGATGATGGGATGCCAATCACTAACATCCATCGACGCCTTGGACGATGGGCAGAATTCTTCGAATGGCAGTTCAACTGGCCTGCTGCTCCGGCAACATCGGTCAGACTGTCCTGCCCTCCATGGCCGGTGATGACTGATCCACCAATCGAGGAGAAACTCCTCAAGGAACTCCAAATCTTGAAATACTACAAATCACTTGGCCCAGATGACTTACTTCCGGCTCTTTTTAAAGATGGTGGTGACCTTTTGACTAAGGAATTGACGACGTTGTCTACAAATGTCTGGGAACTAGGGAGTGTACCAACGTCATGGAATGAGTCGATAGTTGTTCCTATCTTTAAAAAGGGTTCGCTTCGTTCCTGTAACAACTATCGGAGGATAAGTCTACTTCCGATGGCGTCCAAGCTATTGACTTCCGTCATACTTCGTAGACTGTTCAAAACTCGAAAAAGATTGACTCGCGAGGAGCAGGCTGGGTTTCGTTCTGGTCGAGGATGTATTGATCATATCTTCACCCTCCGCCAAATGTTAGAACACCCCCATACTTATCAAAGGTTAACAATCGTAGTGTTACTTGACATCAGGGCTGCCTTCAATTCGTTGGACAGGACTGTTCTCTGGGATTGTCTATTGAAGAAGGGTGTGCCTGAAAAGTTTATTAACATCCTAAATGCCCTATATAAAAACACATCAGGCAGAGTGAGGGCATACAACCACCTCTCTCCATTGTTCCATTCGAGTAGTGGGGTTAGGCAGGGTTGCCCAATCTCACCATTCTTCTTCAACTTTGCCATCGATGACATTCTGGATACAGCTATGATATATGTAGGTGATGGCTGTATGGATCTGTTGCCTGGAGAAAGACTTCTCGACCTTGATTATGTGGATGATATTGTCTTACAGTGCGATAATGCCCAAGGCATGCAATCCACACTTAATCAGTTGGTAACCAATGTCCGCAGGTACGGTATGAGCTTTGTACCTTCGAAGTGCAAAGTACTTCTACAAGACTGGAAGGATTCTAATCCTGTACTCACCCTGGATGGTGAGCAGATAGAAGTAGTCGAGAAGTTCGTGTATCTGGGTAGCTGCATAAGTGCTGGTGGTGGCGTAGGTGATGAGATCAATGCACGTATAGTGAAAGCCAGAGCGGCTTATGCCAATCTGGGCCACCTTTGGCGCCTTCGTGATGTTAGTCTGGCTGAAAAAGGTCGGATCTACAACGCGTCGGTGAGAGCAGTTCTGCTCTATGCTTGTGAGTCCTGGCCTCTCCGAGCTGAGGATGTTAGACGACTATCTGTGTTTGATCATCGTTGTCTCCGAAGGATCGCTGACATCCAGTGGAAACACCATGCCAGTAATGCAGAGGTTCGGCATCGTGTGTTCGGGTGCAGAGACGATAATTCAATTGGTGTCACTATTTTGAAACACCGACTTCGGTGGCTTGGACATGTTCTACGAATGTCATCCCAGAAACTTCCACGTCATGCATTATTTGCCGACTTTGGGACTGGTTGGAAAAAGCGGAGAGGTGATCAGTGTATGAAATGGTGTCGTGGTATGAAAGAAATCTGCAAAAGACTGGCTTCTGTCAGTCCTTCACGACTTCCTGGTTGGGGTCCGAGAGATGGTGCTACACAGTGGCTAGAGACAATATCAGATATGGCTCAGAATAGAAGCCAGTAGCGATCCTGCTGTAACCTTCTTTTACTTTCTTCATATAAGGTGGTTGTATCTTCCTTAACTGAAAGATTTCTTCTGATTGTACCTTTCCGTTCCCTCATTATTACTATTATTATTACTATACTACCTTACACCAACCTCTTCGTTGTTGTTGTTTTTTTACGCTCCTTACCTTTTTCTCTCTCTTCGAATTCTCATTGTTTTGGGTGGCGCATATATATTGGCGCTCTCTTGTACCAATATTTATGTGTTCAAATAAATAAATAAATACGATGCTTCACTGCCTTGCGGGTTAGACCTTTAGGTCAAAGGCTCGGGGTATGGGCCCCTAAGATAACCACCTGCTTCGGTTTGGGCACCCAGGCAGTATCACAGCGCACACACACAAATATGAACTGCCTATAATTATGGAAACTACTTTACTTGCTTCAACTAACAATCAAATTATTATTATTATTTACCACATTATTCACTCTCTTTTATTCCTACTCTGTCTTACTTATTTTTTTCGACTTATACAGCAGCTCGTCTATGGTGTAAAGTCGACTGTATCTAAACGTTTTCGAGTCACTGTCCGGTTGAAAATTGTATGTCACCATCAAATACGAATACTGAAGCAGTTTTTCTGAAACCACGCTTTGTGTGGCGCATATATAGTGGCGCTCTCTTGTATCAATATTTATGTATTCAAATAAATAAATAAATAATACCAAGGTCATCGTTCAGTATACGACAAGTCAATATTAGATCACCCCGTAATCTGCAGTAAGATAACGGAAATAGGTGTAGGTGTCTTATTCTGTCTTCATATGATAGGCCAGAGAGACCTTTTACCATTTTAATTTCCCGTCGTTGAACTCGTTCTATAATATCTACCTCATACTTGAAACAAGAAATCGCTGATTGAATCCCATATTCTAAATACGGTCTCACGTAAGTCGGGTATAATACCCTAAACATTTCTTCGTCCAAGTAATGAAATGACTTACGAATAGCTCACGACAGTGGTAACCTTGCAATTACTCGTAGTTTTGAGGTCTCTGTTTATCACTACTCTTTGATCTTTATAGTCCATTAGTTTAGGTAACACAACTCCACATACTATGTAGTGATATGAATCGTCGGAGGTATGTATTTGCATCACCATACTCTTGTTAGAGTCGATTTTTAATGGCCACTTGTTCATCTATGCAATCAGTGAGTTGAGGTCATCCTGTACTATTATTCTATCTGACATACTGTATGTGGGCCTCTGAATCCTCATGTCATCGGTAACAGTAAAACGGGTGACTTTCCCACAGTTAATAAGCCACTCACATAAAGTACAAAAAGGACTAAGAATTGTACCCTGGGAAACCCCACGTTTTACAGATTCCTATACCGAGAAAGCCCCATTTACCCCCATTCACAGTCTTCTATCATTAAGAAAATCACTTAACTAGTTTTATTATTATTTCATTCCATTATTTCATAATGCATATCAAGACTTTACACTTAATTTAAAACACCGATGAGAGACCTTGTTAAAGGCTTCACCTAGATCTATGAAAATCACATCTACAAGAACATTTCTATATTTAGCTGTATCCCACTCTTCTCTTGCAATGAGCAGATTTGTCAAGCATGATAAGCCTTTCATAAAACCATATTCCCTAGATAAAAATTGTGCCCTTTTAAATAGTTCGAAATGGTCATCCAAATAATCTTTTCCATTGGTTTGACTAAATTGGTTAGACTAACGAATCGACAGTTACTAAGTTTCTGCTCCTCGCCTTATTCACCGGACTGATAATTGCATTTTTTCAGTCTCTTGGCAGTGCGGACTTCCGCAAGGACATATCAAACAATATGGCCATACGTCCAGCAATTACATCTGATGGGGCTTTCATAATCCTAAGACGAATATCGTCAAGACCACCGAACTAATATGGCCTGAGATATTGAAGTAATCTTAAGACAGTTCCTTTCCCAATAACTGCAAGACCCATCGACAAGCCGCCCCGATCACGATTAATTGATGTTCATCCCTCATTGCCGGTGGAAAACATTTTATTAAGATATTCTGATAAAGCTTCCGTTTTCTCGACATCGTCTCTTGCCAATATCAACATATTTTCGTGTACCGAAAGTGATGGGATTCTATCAGTTCTGTGAGTTCTCCTCTTCATATACGAGAATAACCTTTTGGGACTACGTTTTCGATCCCTATCAAAATGTTTTTCATGTGACTGTCCAATCTTATTTATCAACGCTTTACAAGCATACCTAGTCTTACAGTAACCAGATCTATACTGTTCTAAGCCTACAGATATAAACATACTCCAATGTTTTTCCTACGTCTAAGAAGTTTCTTAACCTGTTTAGTTATTCACGGTGGACAGTTCTTTAGTCACTCATTTCCCACCAGTCGCAGCATCCGCACTCTAACAGTTTCGTCTGGGGCATCGGTCGCTGCTGTAGCAGCTTGGCCACCAGTATCTAGTGGTCTGTCGCACATTAATTGTTCCGGAATAGAAATCCCTACCGAATTTTGCACAGTCGGGTATCTGGTATTTTACGTGAAAGCACTTACACTGATGTATTCTTCGCTATCAGTACACATGTTGCCCGTACGGCCCTCAACAATTTTTTTTAGCCAACACCAGAATGCTAATTGCCTCTAGGGTGAGTAATTTTTGCTCGAATAATGAAACACACAAAGCTAATAGGAATTAGGCTTTGAGCACCTTTTATAGGCAGTGGGATTCAAGCCTTAACCGAATAAATCAAGTCGAAGTCGACCAGGTATGTTTTGATACAACAAATACACAAAAGCAAAGTCAATAAATGCAAGTACAATATTACTTTAAATAAAGTAAGTTCAACTCAAGTGTAAACAGTAGTTTTGATGCTTAATTTACGATCAAAACAGTAAATTTAACTCAACGAGGAATCACATGACAGTGACATGTCACTGTCATTTTTAAACAGTGCGCACTGTCAGTCAGCACCTTTTGTTGATGTAGTTAAAACGACGTTAACTACCACAGTGTTACAATCTGCAAGTATTAATGTAGGTCGATAGACTTCCTGTAATCACTACTAAAGACTGAAATAATGAATTTACTCAGTGTCAAATCGACAGGGAGATGAAACACAGATGTGTTCCATACGGTGTCTTTTTGGAGAGTAGGAATATAGAAACCAATCTCTGAAAAAAAGTCATGAGGACTTTGTATCTGGAATTAGGTAGCAGTACAAACCTAACTTACCTAAACCGTACTTAAATGTCTGCGACAGTACAAGGTTACTTGTAGGTCATCCAAGAACCAATACGCTTTCGATTTCCTATGTAATCCCTAAATGACTATAAACGTTCACCCAACAACTCAGAACCAGTTTTCATGCCAATTTCCTGCTTTTTCTTTCCAGAAACTTGGATATGTTCAGAAACTCTCTTGACTAACGCGCTCTATTTAAAAAAACAGTGGTATTCTTTCTCGTTGAGTTAATTAACTGTTTTGATCGTAAACTACGCATCAAAACTACTGTTTACACTTTAATTGCATCTACCCCAGTTAAAGTGATTATGTATTGAGTTTTTCAATTTTGCTTCTGTGTATTTGTTTGCATCGAAGCATACTTGGTCGACTTTTACTTGGTTTATTTAGTTAAGGTTTGAAAATCCCTTTACATATCCTGCTTTTTTGTCACCGTTCTAGTTGATTTTCACGATGGCTCGGTCTACTTATAAATGTGGACAACCATACTGCTTATTTCCCATGGAGGAAGGGATGCAATGTGATGAGTGTAATAAGTGGTTCTATAAGATGTGCACCCGACTAAGCCCCACTGCATATAAAAGATGTTCAAAGCCCAGCTCTCATTGTTTTTGTATGTTTTAGTGCTCGAGCAAAACATTACTCATCTAGGAAGCAATTAGCCTCCTGGCGTTAGCTGATAAGAAGGTTGACGAGGGCTGTACTGGTAACATGGGTACTGATGGCGAAGATTGCGTTAGTGTCGTAAGTGCTATCACGGTGCAAGCCAGACATCTACCTGTACAACCCGCAGATAAACGTTCTCTCCCGAAACGTTCAGTGAGTGACACGTCATTAGACGTTGGTGGCCATATTGCTACAGCAGCAACCGGTGACTCAGATAAAACAATTACTGTCCCGAATTGTTCTATTGTAGACGTTTCGACTGATGGAAAATGGATGACGCGAAGACGCAGAAGAGTAGGAAAGATAGCTAAAACCAATGACTGTTTACTTGCTAAGTCCTTGGTGGACTCTCAGGTCAATCCGCCAAAGTCCCATAGTAAAGCTTTGTCTGACATTGTTGTGAGTCATTCGCTTGACTCCCAGGATTCTGTTAAAATAAAAACTAATCGTAAGATACCAGTAGTCAAAATACAGGATCTAACGTCACGGTCGAAAGCTGTGAACACAGTTTCAAAAGTAGCCGAACCCCTCCCTAATTTAATTATTTGGAATCTAGAGGAGTCGAAAGACAACGACCCTGCTAGAAGACATGCACATGACCTGCAGTTAGTGGAGTCTGTGGTAAGGAATGTACTAGCTGAAGAGGTTTCAGGAGTACATATTACAAAAGTAATACGACTCGGTGAATGGGTTGGAAGCGAGACCCAACCAAGAAGAATACTGAAGCTGGTTCTCGGGAGTTTTGAAGAAAGAGACATATTATTGAAAAGCGCACTAAAAACTCGTGCCTCAAATATCCGTATTCGACCAGATTGGCCACTTGAGGATCGAATCAAGTGGAAGAATGCTCTTACGGAGTTGAGGACTCGCAAATTAAATGGCGAAAATAACCTTACCATTAAGGGTTTTCGGGTAGTCAGGTCTTGGAAGCCAATGCTTCCGAGGCCTGTATGGGTAGAACGATTGATTGGCAAAACACCTTAAGTGTGTGCTACACGAACGCTCGTAGTCTTAGAAATAAAACGTCCGAGCTAAGTCTGATGGTGCAAGAATTATGTCCCTATATAATCGTTGTTACAGAAACTTGGTTCACCGTTGATATAGACTGTTCTCCTTTCATTGCTGGTTATATCTGTATCAGAAGTGATAGGGTTTCAAGTCACAAAGGGGGAGGTTTAATATTATACGTTAGGGATCACTTTCGTATGCAATCAGCCATATCGGAGGCTCACATCAGTGGCACATGTGAGGTTGCATGTTGTAAGATTAAATCTGGAAATAGGTTAGTGACTATAGAAGGAATATACCGTAGTCTGTCTTGTCTTGCTGACGACTTTATCCTACCACACATCTGTTCTTGGAGTGTGGCAGAATGTTGTCTCATCACTGAGGACTTCAACGCACCGCATATCAACTGGATAGAGCTTATAGCTCCAGGTAGTGGTTTCGATAGCGACCTTTTATTTACCGTTATTCAATGTGCACTTGTACAATGTATCACAAAACCGACACATATTGATTTGCAACATGATCCGTCACTGCTGGACCTCGCCCTCACCCACCACTCTGAGGATGTCCTTGATATCCGGCACCTTCCTCCACTAGTGAACAGTGATCACGTTGTAATTCACTTTAAGTTTAGGACACATGGTATACAATTCGTATCTGGCGAGCTAATATTCCGGAAATCAGAAATTGTGCTATCTCGACTGATTGGTCGGTCGACGCGGATGGATTGATCGAAGATGAATGGAATAATTTTAAGGCTACTTTCGAGTCCGTAACGTCGCCGTTTATCCCATGGTCAGCACGTAAGCTATCACATTGCCCTCTATGGATTAATAAGGAAACCCGGAAGCTGTTAAAGCGTAGGAAACATTTCTGAGACTTATTCTTGTTGACAGGTCATGCACCATTTAAGCGTGAGTACGAAAACCATAGACAAATCCCGTACCACTTACGAACGACAGTTAGTATACGATAGCCGTACTTGTCCGAAACGATTGTTTTCGTATGTTAAACGGCAAATGAAACGTAGTGATAGTATTCCCCCGTTACTGTTACACGAAAATTCAGAATTACTAGCTGAATCAGATCGAGCAAAAGCTGAGACTTTTTCAGACTACTTTAGCGAAGTCTTCTCTACGTTTATTGTAACAAATACTTGTCCCACTCACACCGAGATACCAACCATCGAATCTGTACAGGTGACTGAGGAAACTGTCCTTCCGTTGATAACTAACCTCAAACCTGGTAAGATACCGGGCCCTGACGGGTTACATCCACGGTTGCTGTCATCTCTTGCGGACATTATTTCAAAACCGCTTGCGACACTCTCCAACATGTCCCTTTCACTCACTCAACTCCCTAGAGATTGGAAGGACGCTATAGTTAGTCCTATATTTAAGGACGGTCAGCGACAGATAGTATCTAACTACCGGCCTGTCAGTCTAACTAGCATAGTCGTTAAGTTACTCGAAAAGATAATTCGGGTAAGGTTGCTAAGCCACATAGATTTACACAATCTGTTAGCTCCTGAGCAACACGGATTTTGTAACAAGCGTTCATGCTTGACTAACTTGCTTATTGCGAGGGAGGATTGGACAGCAGCCCTAGATAACGGTCTGTCTGTCGACGTGATATTCATACATTTTAGCAAAGCGTTTGACAATGTTTCACACGTAGGTCTTATGCAGAAGCTCACGAGCTTCGGAATAATAGGTACTGTACATGAGTGGATAGGAAATTTCTTATGTGACCGCAGACAGAGAGTGAGGGTCAGCGGAACGCTATCCAATTGGAAGCCGGTCAAAAGTGGTGTACCCCAAGGCACCATCTTAGGCCCTCTGCTCTTCCTTCTCTACGTTAATCATTTACCGCTGTTACTTAGGTCGTCGACATTATTGTTTGCGGATGATGTGAAAATCTGGAGAACAATAAAAAGTGCGACTGATCATATGGATCTTCAAGCTGATTTAGACGATTTAGTTAGATGGGCTCGAGAGTGGGGCTTAGAAATCAATGCTAGGAAGAGTGTACTAATGCACATCGGTCACGGTAATAGTTACCGTTACACTATTGAGGGTAAACCTCTTCCATAAGTTCAAGAGCATAAAGATTTAGTAGTAATATTAAGTCATGATTTAAAAACAACTACGCATTGCAAAGCAGCCGCTGTCAAAGTTTTTCGTGCGTTATGGTCACTTCGCCGAGCGTTCAAATCTTTTGACGAGGAAATGTTTCGAATTTTATATCCCATTTATGTTACACCACATTTGGAGTACTGTATCCAAGCAGCTAGCCCGTGTCTGGTAAAGGATACTAACTCCCTTGAGCGTGTCCAGCGTGTAGGAACGAAATTAGTGAAGGGTCTTTCTAGACTCCCATACGATGATGTTTTAAAACGCCTAAATCTTTTATCCTTGTCGTATCGTAGGACACGAGGTGACCTTATACTGGCATTTCGTATCTTTAATTATGATTTGGGTGTTAATATGTCTTATCTTTTTGCTCCCTCCAGCACTAATAATCTCCGAGGTCATAGCAAGAAGATTCATAAACCACGATCTAATAAACTTAAAGTGGGATCCCGTTTTTCTCATCGAGTAATCAATCATTGGAACGCCTTACCCGAACAAGTGGTATCAGCCCCATCAGTGAATACTTTCAAGGAAAAGCTGGACCTTCACTGGAAAGCAATGTGTCAGGATTAACACAGGTTCATCAACCTACTATCCCTATTACTGAAGACTGAACTGTCCGCATGTTCATTCCTAACTGTTATTTATGATGTTATCGGCAAAATGAAAGGAAACAATTTCCGGTTTTTAATTTTCTTCAGTATTGCGGACAACAATATCACACCAACGAGTCAAACTAATACTTGTTGATAATAACTAATGCACAATCGCTTGAGTAATATAGCTTTACCCAACTAACGGTTACTAAATCCCCAATAACTACCAAGAAACCACACATTCTGAAAATCACTTGTTTGGTGGAAATGGAATAATGTTAGTCCCTTGTGATCTGAGTAAACTGTGCATGAACTGAATTTTAGATTTAAGACGCTGGCTTGTTTACCGATCCTTCATAAATTCACCTGGTAGTCTCAGAGTTGTTCCGAAAGCCAGTTCCGCAGCTGAACACTGCGTCATTTTTGACAGATGTTCGTATTTCCGACATAACTAACGGTAGGCATTCTATCCACTGATTGGGGTTTGAGTAATATATAAGAGCGGTTTTTAGCTGGCGGTACAAACGTTCTACCATCCCACTAGCCTGAGGATGACATACAGTGCAGCGTATTCTATTGAAGCCTAGAAGTTTGGCCAAGTTATCAAAT